TGCCATTAGTTTGTTTTTCTTCCCCATATTTTGCTAGCAAGGTATCAAGGCTATATCTACAAATAGAACAATTAGCCCAAAATCAATTCCCAGGAAATCCTCTGAATAAATTTTGCTATGTTATAATCTTTTAAAGATCAGCTTACTTTAACAGTTGCAATAATGACTATTAAGTCTAAGGTAGTAAAATTATATATTAGCATGTCCAGTTAAAACTGAACCAACTGATAGGCAAACTGACATTCACAGTTGAGCTCCTAATGAAAATTCACAAGCTCTCTGTAATTTCCTGAAAACTTCCATGTCATATTAATGATCGTCCAAAATCATCAATACAAATAGGTAAGAATACTAAGCAATTAACTAGCCAGACAAATTGAAAATATAAAAATCTATTTCTGGAACTTACCTGAAAGAGGAGGCTTATGTGAATGAAGAGTACAAGGTACACTAACAATTAATTTCTGATCAGGAATTGCAGAAAACTTTTCATCTTCTGAAAGCCTGTTTATATATATTTATAACAAGAAAATATAAAAAGAAAACCTTAAGCGATTTATACAAATAAATAAATAAAAGTATCTGGGAAAGATTTGTATGTTCATTGATGCTTCTCTTCCTAAACAAAATAATAAGAATGATAAAAAAAAGAAACTACTCTCATACTGGAAGCCATAATGAAGCTAATATCTAATTGTTGAGAGTATTTCTTTTTCTGAAAGCTAAAGGGCAGCTTATGAAATTTTTTAAGTTTCTGTAAAACAAAAGTAAAACTACAGGAAGAAGACAGAATACAACTAATATATATTTCAAATATAAATATTGCCTGGCTTTATAATACCAGATAAATATGTAATTCCAGGGCACAAATGATCCATTTGGCAGCAACAACCAATACCTTTTCTAGGGCTAACACAAGATGGCATATATAAGACTTAACTAAAACTTTACTCTAAGTAGATGAAGGAGGCATAGAAAACACCTACCTCAGGGGTCCCCAATCTATGGGCCACGGCCCGGTACAGGGCCACAGGCTCTTGGCCAGCAGGCTACAGAAATGGCTGGCCAAGGTGCGCACGCATGGGCATGCATTCCCCACTTGCGCTAGCGCCCATGCGCAAACAGGAACGCAAGTGCAGGTGTGTGTGTGGCCCATTTGCACATGCGCAAACGGGCGCTAGCTGCTACGGGGGTGCGCAGCCGTTCATGCATGTGCATGGCACCAGCGCATGCTGCAAGCACGAACGCGGCCACTAGTACTGCACCAGTGGGCGTGGGCCCGTTTGCCTGCGTGCATGCGCGGGCACATGTAGTAATTTGGAAGCTGCTCTCCCCTCTGGGCCGCCAGCTCAGAACGTGGGAGCATTTGGGGAACATTTGGAGCAATAAAGGGGCAGTTTGAACTGCCAGCTGACTGTGTTGCCTCTGTGCCGTGCCCTAGGTCATCACATGCATCTATTGGCTCTATAATTATATCCTCCCCCCCCCAAATTTAATAATAATTGGATATTCACTGAAGGTACTTTAAAGCATTTCTTGAAAAAAATAGTTTTGTACCATCATGGGAAAGAGAAAACTAATCAGAGATCTTGTATTAAGAAACCGCACTCATTACTTTAAACTTGTTTGCAAAACTCAACTAAGCATTTCTAACTAAATGCTACTCAATAATACTGCACATAAATAATATAACAAAATCAATGTCCCTACCTTAATGGTACATCTGTATTTCCCTGGACTCTACCCAGTACAAGAATTTCATATGGCTTTTTGTGAAGAGAATCTAATGGAATCACAAATTCCCCAGACTTTGTAATCTGAAACAGAGAAATTTGAACAAATGTAGCAAGTGGAAACAAGCGGCACAAGCTATTTTTTGTGTGTTTTACACAAATTTGTTTTTAATACAGAAAACAGTGACTGTTTTCTATATTAGTCGAGCACTATATCCATATATATAATTACTTCTAACATGACTACAAATAAAAAAATACAAATCCATACATTTCTCCAGATCAGGAGTCAAGAGCTACCCAAATCTGGTCAAACAAAATCAATTCTTGTGTTTTATATATCCCTCACTGAGGCTAAATGCTACAAATTATCCATTTAACACTGAGTTATAAATTAAGATTAAACTTGACCTAACTGTGTCAGCATTACTTAAGAACAAAATAAGTGTTAAAGTTGAGGAATATTGAGGTTCAAGTATATAAGGGAAGCTATTAAATAGGGGATTGCTGTATACGTAAAAGCAAAATTGGAACACTGAACACTGCTACAATCATTGATCGGGGCAATTTATGCTTAAGGGCTGCAATCTGATCACCACAGGAAAATGGCATCGTTCCCTTTCCTTTCCATTTATAACTTTTCTAAGAAAATCAACAATATGGTGATAACAGCTCCTCCAATTTAAAAATCCTATTCCTTAATGTTAGATCAATTGCTGGAAAAGCATCTATTGACAACATGTGAATCACAGACCCTTGGCTGACAGAAATTGAAGCAATTTATCTTTCCCAGCTTTGTTCACCAGGCGACTCTATAGTGTACACCAGAATAAGACTGGAAAGCGGGCAGGAGAAAGTACATGGGCTGCAGAAATTTCAACTCACTTATCCCAATGCTTCATCCCCTATCTGCTAATTCTGAGCATAACCTTTTGTATTTGAGTGGCTGGAACAGTAGAGAGAATAGTCCTTTGTGAAACAGCTTAGATTTATTTTGCACCTTGGAAACAATGTGATTCAGTTCACCAAAGCAAAAATGTAAGCCAATTAGTCTCAACCAAGAATTTAAGTGGCCTCAAATTGTATACAGCCTACAGAACTACTGCAGGACGAGTCTCCTCTGAGCTTTCCAAGCTAGGTATTTTCATGACTGCTCATGACTGGTAACAGCACATTTTCAGTGTTCAGGTGCTCATCAATGCCATGTGTTTTGCACATATTACTAAAGCATTCATGAAGCCATTCAGCCTGGAAGATCTTTTGTCATAACCAGAAGGTAGGGCTAGATTATTGATCTATGAAATAATAGAAAATACCTGTAGCTCGGGTTTTAGATTTTGGCTGTGGTTTGTTCTCTAAGCTTGTTTCAATATAATTTCTGAACCAAACTAGGTAACATCATCAGCAAGATTTTCTTGTCCTATTCTCCTTAGCTTATAAATGTCTTGCTGATCTATGGCAGGGGTGTCAAACTGCCAGCCCGCAGGCCGGTTTCATCATACCGGAGCCGCGCCCACCCCATTGCCGGCAATGGCAAAAAAGCTCCGTTACGTCGCGCGACGTCACAAGTTTGACATGCCTGATCTATGGTGTCCCATAGGGTTCAATCCTTTCCTTATGCTATGTGGTATCTACAAAAAAACTGCTGCAGAAGGTCATTTGAAAGTTTTAAATGAGTATCATCAGCCCCTTACTATACTACACTGTGGGGAAAAGGTATTGTTTTTACAGAAACTGTACAGCTAGTCTTTAGAATACATTGCATATTTTTCTAATCTTGAATTTTGCTTGAGTATGGAAACTATACGTAGGAGCTAGGACCAGAGGCCCCTGTTACGTTCAAAGCCAGCTTTAACAAGAATCTGCTGATATGATAGTTACTTCAAAGACAACCCCTAGGAACTAATAGCCATAAAAGGTAATTTGTAAATAAGGGCAGGGGGTGATAGATTGGGAGGAATGGGAGATATAATCAAGGTGGGGAATACTGTATTCACTTTAGGCACTTTGGATAGGTTGTGACGGCCTGAGTACTCAGCCAAAGAGGAAAAGGTGGGAGGTAAATTTGCAACGGCAATAGGGAATATAAAGAAATTAAACTGATGATTTAAGATGTGTCCACTGTACCCAGGAGTATGTGATACACCCTCTTTGCAAAGTAGTAAAAATAAAAATATTGTTGTTTTCTCTGGAAGATTTGGCTGGTGATTGTTTATTCCAAACTAGACAACGAATCCCACATACACCAAGGAAGCAATTGATATACTTGAACATTATTTAAAATGTTCAAGTATATTTAATAATGGGCAGATGAGAAGTAACATCTAAATTACTTTAGACAAGATAACAGTGCTGTTAGCAAAGAGGAAAATAGATTTGGAAATTGAAATTCAGCTTGTTTTGGGTAGAGGTGCATTCCCTCTGAAGAACTCCTTCATCCTAAGCTATGTTTCACCTTTGTGTACTTATATCTAGCCCGCCATCTGCAGGACTTTCTGAGCCTGACAATGGTTATCGACTGTGCTCTGCAGGAAGCTACCCTTGGAAAATGTCCAGACGTTGTGGCTGGTGTAAAATGTGGCAGCTAAGCTGCCAACCAAAGCAAAGTACAGGGAATGTATGAATCTATACATTCTGCATTGCTTGCTAATGGCATACCATTAGCTAGTCTACAGGGGTTGACTATCTATAAAATATCATCTTCCATTTAGACTTTGTCCACCTTTTAACACTGGTAGAAGAGGCCCTTTCTAAGAGGCAACCACTATCAGAAACTCATCATTCTGATACATGAGAATGGACACCTTTGATCTCCAGCTATAGACTACACTCCCTTAGAAGGTGCCTTTGTTTTGTGAGTTTATTATTAATGTTTGTTTACTTTTCATATAGTTGTTCTTAAGTGATCACCAGAGCAGAAAGATGGATTGAGGAATTACAAACGAACAAACCTACTCTAAAATTTCTAGTAGAAAAACTAAAAACAGTTTAAGCTTTGCTCTGGCATTGATCGCACATTTCTAAGCTGACAATGTTCTCATTTATTCTTTAATTTTTAATTTTAACTGTAATAAAAATAGAAATATGGTATGTAAGTCAGAACTGAGGTGTGTGAGTTTTTGATTATCCCAACCTGTCACTTATAAATTAAGAAAAATAAATAAATAATAAGGTAAAACGCATTTAAAATGTACCACTAAAATTAGTACTGGAATTACCATAAGCAAATATTAAATAGGAGGAAAAACCCAGCAAACTTACTTTTACCCAAAACCATTCAACAGCACCATGTATAGACCAGTGAGGATAAAGTTCATTCTTTACAAACTGTAAATGCTTCTGTCTGTTGGTCACCCATGTGACCACAAGACAATTTGGAGCTGCCAATGCTGGAACAGGAATTTCTTTGATTTGCCAGTGAGACAAGAAACCATACCTAAATGTGGATACATTGAGAAAATTTAGAGCTCGTCCAAATCAAGAAAAGATGTTTGAAATTGTCTGACACTTTTACAAACTTTGTCTAATTTAATATCTAACTAGATTAAATTTGATTCAAGAGTGACATCCAGTGGTGAAAAGCTTTACTTTTACATTTGGATCTACTGAATGCAGCAATCTAATTACAATCCATTTTCACCTCAAAAAGCAGATACATATTGGAGAAGAAAAAACTTCTGAAGCAAAATGAGCTTTTAATGAAATATTTTGCTGCATTTCTGAATGTTAGATTAATAGTTGGAGGTGCAATAACTGTAATTTATTCTATTTATGTGGTGTTTTGGAAGCAGCATCTTGTTCAAGTATGAAATTCACTACTAAAGAGTGGCTATCGGTCACCAGATTACAGAATTTTAAAGTGGGATTATGAAAATTCTGATAAAATAAAACTATTAATGGCTGACAATCCTGATGATTATGTACTTCCTGCCATATGAGACTGTAGTCTTCTGAATGACAGCTACTGTGGATAAGCAACAAGAGACTTATATTCATATTCTGCAGGCTTGCCAAAAGCATAAAATTAACTATCATGGATATAGAAATGCTAGGCTATACAGCAATCTAATTAATTTTACAATTTAATAGAATTGTATTAATAAATTAAATTAATAAATTAATAAATACTAACCATTACATCCTTACATTTAATAATCTCAATCATAAAAAGCTTGCTAGAACACAGTTAATCAATTTTTATATCAAGCATATATTTTATTCAGATACCCTTTTGCAAATTACTTTTGTTGTAGCACTAAAACCTTAACATGCAAGACGGCATGGTATTAAAAGTTATATACTTAATTTATATAAAAATATACATTTATAGGAATCATACCGATTGCTTCTTTTAACAGACTTGTTCTCCCATGGTGGGTCTATAACAATTATGCCATACTTCTTTTTATCTGAAAAAAAAAAGAAATATTCTTTGAAATTATAAAAGTACTTCCCATATTTTAAGCCCCTAATATTTACGTCTTTCAAAGGAAGTGAAAGTATGATCTTTCCCTACATAAAAATATATAAAGAAGTCTGCCCTTATAAGTTTATGTCAACCATATTGCTCTTATATGTAAAAGCTGTATTTAACTAATGACTCAGTTTCATATCGCAAACAATTATAACAGCTTCACATGTACCATAAAATTGTTCAAATGGATAATCAGGTCTTTCAATTCGTCCTTTATTAAAATATACACAGAACTGCTATGGCAAAATATTTAGGGATCGCTAAACAGGTGAGCAATTTTACTAAGATATGTACTTACAATTCAAAAGTGGCTGCATACATGAAAAATCTGATAAAAGAAATGAACTTCTGGGGGGAAATAAGTAGTTCTGTCCCATTAATGTTAACATCTTTGCATTGTTTGTATTATTTTCAGTAACACAGATTAATTGAACTTGTTCTGGGTCAGAGGTTTCCTTGTCTATTACACATTTTTGTTCTTTTTCTTTCATAGGAACGAAACACTTGGCCATCTCGCATAGCTCAGCCAAACTGCAATTATTGTGTCCTCTGTCAGATGTCTTGACATAAAACTGGTCTGTAGGATTAGGCTGAAGGAAACCATTTCTGCGTGCCTCCTGGATTAACCATCTACTCCCATCCAGAATTATGCCACTGATCTGTGTACAGCAATAAAAGATAAAGGAAAATTGCTTGAAACATGTAGATTTGTCAACTGTAATTTACTAAGAAGTTCATATGAAATAATGACTGCACAAGGTAAACATTAAACAGTTATAAAATGATTTTAGATTTGTTCATCTTAAAATTATTTCTTGGTGTTTGAATGGAGAATTCTTCACATGGACATATTTGCAAACAGAATCATTACAATAGAGATAGGACTATTATAAATTTATAGCAATCTTTTACTAACCTTGAGGCCTACAGATTCATCACTACTTAATTTGCAATTTGAAAATGAAACTAAACTATTTTAAAATATTCACTGTATTTAGGAATACACAAGATCAATTAACAACTACCACCATCAAAAGGCCTAACATGCACATAACAAGAATGTCTTTCTTTATACAAGAAGCCAAACTACATGCATACATCACACTTAGCCATGGCTTAGCCAGACTGTTGAGTAAATAAGAGATTCACATATTGTTATGTAATAAATGCATGGTTTATAAATAAGATTAGCAAAAAAAATCATGCTAAGTACCTTATGACTTAGGACATTATGTAAGTCTGTTCTTAGTTAATTCATAATCTAAGCTATAAAAACGTTTTTTTTAATAATGCTCAATGACCCCAAACAAAACACATTATGACCCAGCATGTATGTTACTCAGGATATATTATTTTAGTTGTGGTTAACAATATCATGACTTCATGATTTGACAGAAGCAAATAATTCCCTACTGTTCTAAAGCTGCATTTGCCACTGATGTGCAACAACAACTTCTGGTTTTTCTAGCATTTGAAATCAGTTATTGCCCACATGACTGACTGTAGTTAAAAGTACAGCATACTCTGGCCCATGCATAATCTCTTAAGTCATTTCTTATAGAATATTCTAGAGTCATTTAACCACTATTAAGCTAAAACACTAGTAAATAGAATAGGCTTCAGCAATGACTGGATGAGGCTGTCAAGACATTAAAAGTCAATAATGGGGAAATAGCCTTAGTCACAATAAATAGACTATGTATACACTACAGTTCATGAAAGAACTTAAGAAAATTTTATTTAAGAAAATTTCATACTAGCTCTTTTTCACTGGGTTTGCTATTATTTTTTAATCATTCAGTGACTTCTGAGATTTTGCATCCTCATCTATCAGTTCTTTTGTTTGTCATCAGAGTATCTAGCCACATTTTTATGTTGGCCTCTTTTTCAATTGCCTTCCATTTTTCCAAGCAACAGTGTCTTCTTCAATAACTCACCTTCATATTTTGTGCCCCAAATATTTAAGCTTTAGCTTCATTATTAATGCTCCCAGTGAAGTCTAGTTTTACTTCATCTAATATTGTTTGTTCTCCCTATAACCCAGAGTATTCTCAACATTTTTTTCTAGCAGCACAATTCAAAGGCATCCAGTTTTTTTCTTTAACTTTTCTGATAATCCAACATTCATGTTACAATTTGGGAAACCATGATCCTGCTCATACAGACCACTGTTGGTAGTATAATGTCTTGCTACTGTAATATTTTATCTAAATATATCATTGCAAACTTTTAATTTACTTCATTTTACAAAGCATTCTGAATATGCCATTTCAAAATAGTTGACTTGCAGTATCTTTCCTACTTTTTAAAATACTATTTATAGGTAGTCCTCAACTTATGACCACAATTGAGCCCAAAATTTCTGTTGCTCATTTGTTAAGTGAATTCAGCCCCATTTTACAACTTTCTTGCCACAGCTGTTAAGTGAATCATTGCAGTTGCTTAGTAACATGGTTGTTAAGTTAATCTGGCTTTCCTATTGATTTTGCTTGTCAGAAGGTCACAAAAGGTGATCACATGAACCTCGGACACTGCAACCATCATAAATATGAACCAGTTGCCCAGCATCTGAATTTTGATCATATGAACATTAAGAGGCTGCAATGGTCGTAAGTGTGCAAAACAGTCATAAGTCTTTTTTTTCAGGGCTGTTGTAACTTCAAATGGTCACTAAATCAACTGTTGTAAGTCAAGGATTATCTGTAGAGTGAATTTTCCACACTAAAATATGGCTGAAATACCAATCTGTTCACTGTAGGCACCTTTATAGACTTTTTTCACAGATGTCTAATATTTACCAATATATACTTATTAATTTTAGAATAGCAAAAAGTGTGTTTTATAGTAGAAATTGCAATTAAAACAACTCCCCCCCCCCCAAATGCAATATGATTTTAGAATAGTTTGCACTAAGCAAGGGTGGATTCATACAATGTATTCAGTCATGACTGGAGCCAATTTGGTGTAGTGGTTAAGGAGCTGGTGTAGAAATCAGAAGACGCGAATTCAAGTCCTGCTTTGGACATGAAAGCTGACTGAGTAACTTTGGATCAGTCTTAGCCACTCTTAGCCCAATTCACCTCATGGGATTGTTGTTGTGGGGAAAATAGCAGGAAGGAATATTAGGTATATTTACTGCCTTGAATTACTTATAAAGAAAGGTGGAATAAAAATCTGATAAATAAATAAACCACATTATACCTAAACATGAAGTGTGAATTTGACTTTTATTTCAACATACAATAAGATGAGCATATGTATGTCACAAAAATAAATGGTACTGTCCCATTATTAGTCTTCAAACTTACCTTTAAATGATAATCTAAGATATCACTTTCACCATGATTAAGTTCACTGCTTCTTTTCCGTTTCTAAAGTTGAAAATGGGCATGTTAGCAATACTACCATTCAAATGTTTAGCTACATTAACTACATTCTGTATATAAGGAAAAGATGTATTTTGTGATGAACTAACATCCCTTAAACTTCACAAAGACAACTAAATGTGTATGTTAGTAAATAGCAGAATCTTATAGATTCACAACTTGCAACCTAATTGGTTGGACTCAATGGTGGCAATGCTTCTCAGAATCCCACAATTCACCAACTATAAGTTCTAGTGGGATGTAGATACTTGGGAATTTCCTTTGTGGTATTTATCTCCACTTTTCCAGTTCTTTGGGAAATGTTAATTTCAGGGAAATCCTGGTTTTGATTTGCAGGTATGTGCTCTAATTAAGTCCTTCTTTCACCCACCAAGCTTCTTTCGAAAAAGAAGGCCCTGGAGGGTCTTCTTCCAAAGGTGGAGCACAAGAGAAGTTCAGCTGCCAGGATTGCCATTACTAAGCAATGCAGTCACATGACATCACATTTGCATCAGTTAGCAATGGAAAGTTCGGTCCCAATTACCATTGTTAACTAAGAACTACATGTAACACTAATTACCTACAATACTCTTCTCCAATATGAGATGAGCTCCAGATGACCTCACAAACAATTCTCTTATCCAAAGCCCGTGCTGGCTGGAGATAATGGAAATTGGGATACTGGGGGAAGTGGTGTTATCCAGCTAGTGTTCCATACCCTGATCCCATCCAGAAATGCCAGTGCTACATTTTCATGAAAATTACAGCAGTAATACAGTATATCCAGGGAGCACCAAATGTCGGTGACCCAACATAAATGAACTATAGAAATTGTCTAGATAGTTAGGTTTTTGGAAAGAAAAAACTATGGTTGTTGTTGTTTTTTGCAGTATCCGTTTCATTCTAAACTATTGACTGTAAGAAAAATATAGCATTTCCAGACGACTGATGGGAAAATGTCCCTCACTTTTATTATCTAACGTGTCATTGTATGTGACACAGAAACTACAACAGCCATGTGGCTTTTTGAAAGAGAAAATGCCACGTAAGGAAACCAGCATTAAACAATTCCTTCTAAGATTACAACTCAGGGACTGTAAATACATATGATAGCATGAGTGTAAGACACATATTATTACTATATTACTCAGTGAACTACTAATATGGTCTTCTAGAACAGGACCATTGTTATCTATAAATTCACTAATAAAATTTTACTAGCACATGCTAAAATTAGGTGTACTTGATTTCATTTATTAGAGTTTTATTAAATGCTGAAAGCAGGTAAAATTATATAGTGCTAATTACTAATAATCTACAAAGGACATTTTTGGACTGCAAAAGTAACAATCTATAAGTATTTTTATAATAAACCAGGGATTTCATTTTATGCTATTTACATATGAAAATGTATGTAAATATGTAAGAAACATATCTTTATACTCTACCTTTTTAGCTTTAACTGTAATAACAGATTTGTTGTCGTCATTTTTCTGCTGTTCAGATTTACTAGTTTCTAGATTAGTCCCACTATGCTTTTCCGTCTGGAAGCTTGCAGGAATATGGGGCTTAAGTACATTAAAAAAATCTTCTCGAAATAAGTATGTCCTCTTTACCATCTGATTAGATTTTTCTCCTGAGTTTCTAAATTCAGGAATAAATTTTTTTGTACATGATTTTATGTGAATCAGATTTGTATCTGAGGAAGCAGGAATAACAATATTGTCAAAACAATCCTGAGCTGACTGCTCAAGAGAATGGCAAAAATTGTATCCAGATTTATTTATGAAAGAGAGGTGATCTAGCATCCAGCCAGCTGGCAGATAACATACAATTGACATTGTCTGCTTTCCAAGGCATTCTTCTTCCAAATGATTAAAAACTGTATTCCTTGGGGGGTGGGGAGAAACAGAAAAGTAAATCTTTAGAGAAGTGTTGCATTAACCATTAGTTTACCCAAATGTCAAGTATTTTAATTCAATCCTGTGAAACTAGGACTTTCTATGAGCACAGCATTTCTCTTCTGTTCAAGAGACCAATCATTTTCAAGCATCCATGTGACTCTGAAAAAAAAGATGCCATTGCTTTAAAAAATTAGCACTTCATTAAGACTATTCTTATAGCCAATGGGAAGATATTTTCCTATATTCTGTATCCAATATTTTGCATAACAAAAAGGAAAAATAGCAATAATGATATTCAAAGAACAGATACTTGAGATAATTTTCAGGGGAAAATTATTCATATACGAGATCCTATACTGTGTCATACATCATTCACTGTTCCTGTAGCTGAATGTTAGGCTAAGGTTCAAATTAAAAACATAAATTGCCCATCAGTAAGACCATAGGTCTGAACACATCAAAACATTTGAGCAAACAAAAGTTAGTTTTGTTTAAAAATATGGATAATTATAACATTTAGATTAGTATAGCTGAGAGAACTTTAGATAGATACCTATCTTGTTACAATTCTGGAAGAGCCATAACTAGATATATCCGTCAAGTTACTATCCCTCTTGCACTACACTGGTTTCCTACAACTATTTAGCGAAGTCCTAGGGGGAGATTAAATTTGAGCTGGGTTCTTTCTTGCAGTCTTGCCCTAAATTATAGTTATAACTTAGTAAATCTTGCAGAATTCTACGGAGTTTATTTCTGAGTAAACCACAGCATTTTCGATCGCGGTAAGGAGATCGCGAAGTAGCCCTTGAGCCAAGTCTTCTGCTCCGTCTCGGACTCGAATAGCCGCGCTCACAGAGCCCATAAAGGACAAACATCAGTCTGTAAGCATGCCAGCTGGACCTACTCCCCTTACTCCCACGGGGAAGACCGTACTTCGCTCCCAAGGGAGAAACCACCTTCCCGCCTGTAACTCACAGCTACAGCGAGCAGCTTTGGTAGAACGCCGGAGATAACCATAGAGAAGAAACGCGATTATTCCGCTTGAGCAATTTTATCCTGAGACAACTTCCTGTTTCTGAAGGAAATGACGTTACTTTCCTGGGTTTGTTTTTTTTTTAAAGTCAATGGACGCTAACGCAAACGGATGTTGCGATAGGCGGGTAAATTTGAAAGCAAGTGAGAAACGGGCGGTGACAGAGCAAGAAAGAGCGGTGAGTGGCGATGCAGCAGGGGAGGTTTCCAAGGGAGCAATGCTGCTACCGATGAATAGGTTACTAGTATCTGACTGAGGTCGGCCGCTGCCCTTTCTTTCCCAGCTTGGCCGGATTGGGAGAAAAGGCTTTAACGGTTGGTAATATAAAAGCTCTCCTTGAGAAACCAAGGCGCAGTTGACAGCTGGTTTAAGCTTCACCAGTCGGTAGCGCTCCTCCGCTTTTTCTTGGAGGAAAATTAAAGCCGCCGTCACAACTTTCCTTTCAGAAGAGGAAAATCCCCATTCTTTTCTGACGCCAAAGGAAAAATTAATTTTATATTACATATTCTAATTCGTTCTTCTTTGCAAGTGTTTGCGTCCGTGTACCGCCGAATAAATAGGAGGAGTGAAGCCAGAAACCCCTTTTTGGGAGGCGTTGTTCTGACGAATGAAGGCAAATATACGTGTCTCAAAATAACGTTGCAGGATCCAATCTGGTTCGGTCACCATGGCCAAAGGTTTAATCCTCTTCTTTAGTTACACACATTCTGGTGAGAGAGAAGTTCCCCGAGGATGGGCTCCATCATGAGTCCAAAAGCTCGGGAGACTAAACCTCTAGTCCCAGCGACCGACCCAGATTGGATCCTCCAGGTTTTGTTCTATTCAGGAACGGAAAGAGAGAGAGAAAAAATATTCAGCAAATGCACCCTGCTCTTTTTCTTCCAGTGAGCAAGAGGTTTGAGGCCATTTCACTTCTCAATTTTCAAAAATTTCCTTTTGGTGGGTGCAAGACTGGGAGTGAGTTTGCTTTGTAGCCAAGGGCTTTTCTCTGCTGAATTCTTTCCAGTTTATTATCAGCAGAGGCTTTGCCACCCATCCATTCCAATCCTTTCTGCTGCCCTGGACAGAGCCATTTCTGCTTTCCCTTCTACAGGTTTACAAGTTTACCGAAACACTGCAGCGTTCTTCTGTATTACAGTTTTCTCTACAACAATGAGGCGTAGTTCAAGTACTAGTCGAATCAGTTGCCGGCAATCCATCCAGCCACTGAGGGTGCAGGATACTAATAAGACGGGACTTCATACACCCCAAACGTAAGACAGTCAGATTCCTTTAGTTGAGGTGACATTCATTTATTTGGCTTAAATTTCCAAAGCATGCTTGCTGAAAATATTAATGCCACTTGTGTTTTATTCTTGTTACTCTTAAAGGCATATACATATGTATTCTATGTAAAAAAATGGTTAATTAGATAAATTCACTATTTTGTGTAAGCTAGGATTAAAGTATGATCTGTTCTTTAATTTACTCATGCAGTAAACTATAGTAGAAAGTACATACATATTAAGGAATAGACCACATTAAAAACAAAAATTAAACAACAGATAACTTTATTGGATGGCATATGAAGATGATTTCAGTTTTGGTGGTTTTTAATAATTTGTACAATTCAATAATATTTTCTTTTCAAGGCAAGAGAGAAGGACTACTTTTGGAAAGCAGAGTGTGGGAAAGCATGCACCAGGGACATCAGAAAGGAAAACTAGTTTTTTTGGCAAAAGGTAATTAGCATTTCACTTGGTAGGATTAACTTGAATATTACAATGTTTCAGTATCACTTCCACTAGAATAAAGGACAAGAAAAAGCATCAAGGACTTGGGTAGTTTTAAGTGCAGGAAAGCCTTGCATCAGGAGTGAAAAAAAGTATTAGAATTTGTGCTAATATCCCTTTTGTAGTTCCTGGAGCTTTCGAGAATTGACAGGACTCTACTCCAAAAATGTGCCCTGGCCATTTTTGGAGTGGAACTTTAACATATCACGTAAAGTCTGCTATAGCTTTCAAATCAATAAAATTTGTATTATTCTGTCTTATATTCTCAATAGAAGAGCTGGAAGACTTTCAAATGACATTGCCATTCTATTAAGTCTCATTTGTTATTACAAATTGTATTTTCTATATTTAAATAGTTTTGTAGAGATAAAATGAATAATGCCATAGTTAACCTGGTTGCATATTTTCTGGTTTCAATTTAAGGACTAGTGGCTCTGGGAGCTTACGGAACAGCCAATATGGTGCATTTGGAACCATGGAGAAAATCAAAGAGCCTAGACCACTTCATGACAAAGCATTCATTCAGCAATGTATCCGTCAACTTTGTGATGTATGCAGCACTTGTTTAGTTTAACTAATTAAATCTCTCTTTAATCAGAATAAACTGTGGCTGCTGATCAATGAAATTTGGAAAAAGTAAGGTCAAAATAGACTAATGGGCCAAGAAATAACGGGCCATCCAGGTTTTTAAAAAGATATGAATTACCTTCACATTTTAAAATCACAAATGCTATGAACTATCACACTTTTCACATAAAAACAATGCATCTCAGCAATATATTTTAATTATAGCAAAAATATATGTAAATCTTTGTTAATTAAAATACATGATTAATCTGCAAAGTTCTCTAATTAAACAATAATTTGGCCCATACAGAGATCTGGATTGCTCTGTAAACTAGCATAAAGACCCAAACAAGTAATACTTTTAATTTTTTCCCCCCTAGTTTCTTATAACATATGGATACGGTCCAACAGTCTCTGTGAAATCACTCCAAACTCCTTCTGTTAAGGACTTTGTGAAAATTTTCAGCTTTATTTATGAACTCTTTTGCCCTTCATGTGACCTTTTGGGTTCTAAATTTGAAGAAGAAATCCCAAGAATTTTTAAAGAGCTTGGGTAAGTACCTCCCCATTTAATTAATTTCACCAATTAAAAAGAATATAACTAAAATATTTTGTGGATAATACATTTCTTGATTACGTGTTAGAAAATTATCATCTTCCAGAGTTTATTAAGATTCTTAACTTTATTTCATTTTAATTTAGTAATATTTAAACAATATATTATAACTAGTCAAACTATTTGTGTTACAGTTAGTCTCATTTAGCAGCCACAATTGGGACAGGCAATGCAGTTGTTATATAGTAGCTAAATAGAAAATCATATTGTGCTTATGATTTCAGCTTCTTTTGCTTTACAGCATCAGAAGAATAAAACCCCAAAGAAGCCAGGTGAGCCTAAATGGCGAAGGTTTCTGGTACTTGATTCACAAGGACATTGGGTAAAAGGGCAAATACAGCTCTTTTTCTTCACTTCCCCCACTCTTTGGAATGCTCAGCCCCGTGCTGAGATATTTAGCAACGGAAAATTGATGTTTATATTCATTGGAGAGACAGGGATTACATGAAAGTAAACAGGCACAATGGGGAATACACATTAAAAGAAATGTGCTAGTGCCAGCTTTTTGCCTAGCATGCTCCCAAGCCCTGAGCCTCTTAGTGGGCAAAAAAAAAAAAAAGCTGAAGGTGTGAAACTGATTAAAGTCTTGTCACTCATAAGCACCAATTACTAAGGTCACAGGGCTGAGCTGGTCCAGCATAGACAAGTTACTAACTGACTAATGTGCAAAGGTTGTAAATGTGAGTACTGTTCACAAAGTTACTTTTTCATCGCTGTTGTAACTTCACTCACTGCCTGAGGCTAAATGAGGTCTATTTGTTAACAAGAAAACTACATAGACACTCCTGAATGTCTGCCAAGAATTTTGCTTAGTTTGAAGGCGGACACTTTATACAGCAAAGATAATAATATATGTGTCCTCTCTACAAATGATTCCTGACTTCAACATAATATTGANTTTTTATATAGAAAACATATTTTTCTTACAGTTATCCATTTCCTTTGTCGAAAAGCTCTATGTATACTGTGGGTGCTCCTCATACGTGGCCTCAGATTGTAGCAGCTCTGGTCTGGCTGACAGAGTGTTATAAGGTATTGAAAGGTTCTGGCACAAAGTGAAATTGTTTAGTCTATCTGTTGCTTTCTTGCTTTTTGTAATCGGCTTTTGCACCAGGGAAATCTCATGCAAACGTGGGAAATATGTACATGGATGGGATGTACTAAAGGAGGGAATAAGAGTGTACAGGAACGATTGATGTCTTCCTTATGATCTAATGGCTCTGTTGTCTAATTTTCATTGGCTAACAAAGTTTATGAAGCAATGCTACTAACTTTCTAAGGTATGGCACTTCTGGCCGTAACTCTGCCAGTGTTCCAGATTGTTTGCCACCCAGCTGCTTAATTTGATCAAATAAAGTGCTGCTTGATCAAGAAGTCTCAGCTTGGGTTATCTGATTAGATAGATATGATATCTCAAGTTCAAGTAAGGGACTGGGACCTTACAGTATTATAGATAACCAATTATATATTTAGCCACATTTATAGGTATTTGCTATTTCACCTAATTTTGATCTTATAAATATAGAAGTGATACACTGAAAATATATAACTGGGTTAATAAAATTCTTGATGTTCTTGTGATTTTGACAGATTCTTTGTAATATATAATGCATCATTAGAGCTATTGTTGCACTTTTGTTGCCACATTAATTTTATCAAGCAAATAATGATAAATTTGCTACCAGTAATTTTCAGGCAAAGGGCCACATTTGAATTCCATGCCAGGAACTCACCAAAAGTGGATGAGACCCAGAACAAAATAAATTTCATTAAAAATTAATATTTTGTGTTAATATAAATTCTAATAGATTTAATGTTGTTTCCTTTCTGCCTGGCAACAATCTTCAGATATGTGGGTAGGGATACACAAATTGTATTCTGATTAGTTCAGAAAGGAAATAGCAAGTATGCTTTACTATTACAGTAGGAAACATTATTCATTGTGACTATGTCATTGTGTCTTACTCAGTTGTTTACTTGTATGAAAGAAAACCCACAGTCATTTGATGAAGGACAGATTTTGGGAGAAAGTGAAGATGGAATTTTGCAAAACAAGGTATTTTAGCTATTTCTCCCTACATTGTGGAATGCATATTACTTGCTGGCAATAAAATTATGATTCTGATAAGAGTTTAGTATATATTACTTATGAAATCAGCAATAATAATATACCGGATGAATGTTAAACGTTACCATTTTTACTAAGCATTTTGATCTAGAAATGTGAAACCTTTTCTTAATAGAGAAAAAGCACACATAATCTGCAATGCAATAATGTTTAGCATATTTTAAAAGATCCCTAACATTAAACTATTTTTCAATTATGTCCTCAGCTTTTTTTGGACTACTCTATAAAATGTTATGACCATTTCATGAAGGGTGGAGACAGTTTCGAAGAATTTGATGCTGAAATAGACTCCAAATTAAGTGAGTAATTTAAATTGTAAAATGTTAAAAAAAATAGGCATTACTATTAATCTTATGAATCTTTTACCATTTGCTTTCTGTAGTTTCTCAAACTTTTTAAAAAATTTCCTCGCCAAGCTATTAATGTAGGATGTTTCTGTTTTAACTCTAGTGCAGGGGTCTTCAAACTTGGCCCTTTTATGACTTGTGAACTTCAACTCCCAGAATTCCTCAGCCAGGCACGCTGGCTGTGTGTTCCCCCCCATCATCTCACTTAATCTATGAATATGAGTTACAGTATATTTTATTATATAAATAATAGACATTTGGTATTTAGTCTATCTGCTGTGCTCTAACCCTTTTCTCACAGGCTTAAGTTAACTTCTAAGTCAAACCTAGGCAGAAAGATCATAAATTCTTTGTATGAATATTCGGCAATGAGATATAAATCCACCTCCATGCTGTTATTGAACTAATATATACAGATTAAACTAATATTTTGATTAAGTAGTATTTTTGTGTCTCTTAAATAGTAAAATAGTTAAAATGTTTAGTTGAATAGTGACAAGTTATGGACTAAGGCTACTTAGGAGTAATTGTGGTAAAGCTGTTGAAGGTAGTACTGTGTATGCTGCCCTGAGCTGGGCATAAGGTGGGATATAAATAAATAATATGTTGGGAGAGAGCATGGACTAATGATACATAATGGAGCTATATTGATGCAATTATTATCTGATTGATAGTTTAGGTGGAAGAACATCAACGAAGTTCATATGTTACATTTAGTTTTTTGAGAAAGGAAAAAAGGGGAAAAAAATACAGTGATGGAAATTGTTGATTGGTGAATGAAGGGAGACTTGATCCTACGATCAGATAACCCACATGCCTGTAGCTCTTGCCCACCAGCTGCTTGCCTGGGATTCATGCCTCTTCCCATGTCACAGTCATGTTAGATTCTTGCTTAACAACGGCAACAGGGGGGTAGAGATATGTAAAATTTGGTGTATTAATATGTTATAGAATAATGTATTTTTTTTTAAAGGAGGTGCTCGACTAGCACCCTCAAACTGCATCCGAAGGATGAGGAAAGGAAGGAGGTGGGATGTGTAGGGTAGTTGAAAGAGAGGAGGAGAGGTGTAGGTAGGAGGGGAGGAGAGGAGAGGAGGAGGGAAGTAGGTAGGAAGGGTGAAAGAGAGGGTGGATGCAGGGGGGGGCTGCCGAGCACCTCTGAAAATATTCTTTTATGGTTATGTTTAATATGTTTTTTTATTAATGTACACCATATTTCTATTTAGAATTTGTTTATTTGAAAATTAATAAAAATTTGAAAAAAAAAATGGTTTAAATCTGATATTTAGTAAAACAAAATATCAACTTATTTCCCAGTGTTTACTTTTTGTCTCAATTACTTATTCTGATTAATAGTAGAGCACTGGAGTGATTAGAGCAGGGGTGTCAAACTCGCAACATCATGTGATATGTCACGACGTATCGCAACTTTTTTGCCATTGCCGGCAATGGGGTGGGCGCGGTTTCGCTAAGATGCATCCGGCCCATGGGCCGGCAGTTTGACACCCCTGGATTAGAGGGTTATTTTGATCTTTCTTTCAGAGGATCTGTTTAAAGTACAAGAAAAACATTTAGCAGTCTTAGAAGAAAAAGAAAAAAGGCTCAATGAAGAGATTGCAAAGCGTGAAAAGGAAAGAGAAAGTGAACCAGTGAGTAACTGAGTACATGGGTCTGGGAAGATATTTCTATAAGTCTGATTTTAGTTAACACACTACAATTTCCATCTTTTTGTATGAAAAAGGACCGTTTAGAGCAACTGCGGAGTCTGAAATCATCTTTACAAGCAGATGTTAAAAAATACGAGGCTTATATGGCCAGTTTGGAATCTCTCTCAAGCAGTCTCAGTCAAAAGACAAAGACTATTACAGAGGAGGAAGAAACTGTTGGTAAGGAGAAACTGCTTAACACATCAGTACCTTATTTTATAGCAGGCATGTCAAACTCGCGACATCACGTGACGTTGCATGACGTATTGTGAATTTTTCCCCATTGCTGGCAATGGGGTGGGCGCAGTTTTGTTGTGATGCATCTAGCTATAAAATGTTGAGTATTTCTCAGCTCAAGGGAAAGATCTAAGCAGAAGTAGAGAATTTAATTACAACTTTCTTAGTACTAGTAAGTTTCTCACGCCTTTTAGTAGATTCTTCTTATGAGATCAAGTTTTTAATATTTTGAAATTTTATCCAAATAAGTATTAAGCTTCAACTTCATTAAACATTAAAAAAAACTTATCTGTTTTCTTAACAAGATTTTATTTTTCTTGACTTTTAGCCATGGAAATTGAAGTACTGAAACAGGAAAACGCACATCTGGTGGTCATTTGTGATAATCAAAAGTATTCCACTGCAGATGTTGAGAAACTGAATTCTGAAATAGAGGAGCTGAAGCAGGCAGTAAATAATTTAACCAAGGAATTGGAAGAAGAGCAGCGGCATCTGTGGAATGAGGAATTAAAATATGCAAGAGGAAAAGAAGCAGTATGTATAGCTAAAACAAAAGTTTTGAACATCTGACACTAGCATCTGGGAGACTAACGTTACTACTGCTGCTGCTTTATTTCCCATAAACTGAATTAGATAACAACATTTTATTCTGGTAGTAGCAAAATAAATAGTATTTATAACCATCATTGTAAAACTTTAATTTGCTGAAAAATATTTATCTTCTCTGGAAATTTTTTATGTCACCTTTTCTCTTTATCTCATCTAAAATACCTTGTATTTTTTTGTGACTTTTTTTTGGAGTTCCCTAATATATTTTATAAAATAACCTAATGAAAGCTTTATTTGCATCTCAAACCATTTTTAAATCAGTACTTTTAATCTAAATTATTTTGAGACACAATTTTAAATTTTTATATTTCTCCACAATTGTTTCTTTCTGTAGCAAGATTTCATTTAGTCTCCATCTAGATCAGGGGTGTGAAACTCGCAACATCACGTTTTATTCCATTACTGGCAATGGGGTGGGCGCGCTTTCGGCATGATGCATCCGGCCCGTGGGCTGGCAGTTTCACATCCCTGATCTAGATGAACCAGATTTCCTGTTGTGAACCAAATTCACAAGATTATACGAAAGGGTCTTTGCTAATATTTATACCTTGGTGGCCCAATCCAAAAATTCAAATCATATGTATTCTTGAAAGGCTCTATTTCACTCAGAAAGTAGGCACTCTTTTGAATTGCAATTTTCTGTCTCCATATACCAGCCAACTTTAAATGGGCCATCAAATCAAAAGGAGCAAAAACTTTTGATAGTTTGTCTTGAGTAATTTTAATGTTTTTCAGAAGCTGGGAAGATACAACACCTTATATTAAAATTTAAATATAGGCATTGAAAAGACAAACTTTGAAAACACAAAGAAATGCAAAACAATACTGTGGTTATGAAGCAGTTCCGGTTTTCATAGATTTCATCAGCTGTAAGGTGCTTAGGGTATGCATCTTAACGATGTTTGTTCTTTATAGATTGAAGCAGATTTGACAGAATACCATAAATTGGCTCGAAAATTAAAACTAATTCCTACAAGTGCAGAGAATTCTGGTGGTCTTGATTTTGAAATTAAATTCAATCCCGATGCAGGACCTAATTGTCTGCTTAAGTTTACAACTCAGATTCGTGTAAGTATAAGTTCACTTTTCATGTAAAGCTCTTTTAGATAATTGCTTTCTTTCAATAAATGATAGTTTAACAATACTTAAAGATGAAGTTTGATTTTCTTATCACAATGAGTATCAGGAAGTTGATATCATATTTATTATGCACAAAAATTGTTTGAGTATTATGTATAGACTGGAATATGTTAATGAAGGCTTAAAAATCCCTGTACATTTAGGTTAAGGATGCTACCTTAGAACATCACTTGTTGAAAGGGCTTATGCTATCTTATTTTGCTAATCAGCTTCCTATTGGAATCTGATTGGCTACTATGGGGAACACAATGTTTACCAGGTAGACCATTGGTCTGATCCAGCATGGCAGTTCCTGTGGCTTTATAATACAGAACCTCTCCCTGCATGAACTAATGTAAAAGTACTTGGGAAAGAATATTGGTTTATAGGAGGATCTTTTCTATATTATATGCATTTGAGATTTATTTAAAGTATTTATTTCTTGAGTCCTGTGACTGGACTACTTCACCGGAAAACTTTGTAATTTTTTGTTTATATAATTACGGCAGGCTCCCCTTCTGGATCTCATGAACAACACTGAAGAGGAGATTGCAAATGCAACACACAGAAAAATTGGCTTAGAAGGCTCCTTAGTACAGGTCAGTTCCTAACTATCTCTGGTCTAGTGGAAACCCAGCTATACTGTATAATGTAACGCAACTTATAGTAATCCTTGTTTATCTATACTTTTCTTATTCCTAATCATATTTCAGAGTTCATAACAAGTATAGGATTGCTAGGAAAGGAAACTGATAATGGAATGAAAAAAGACTATAATAGACACTGCAATCTAAATTTCAAGATGTTCAGTAGATACACTTATAGATCTTCAAACTGTTCTGTTTGTAAGCTAAAAGATTTTTAAATATTAAAGTGTTGGCTGGAGTCAGAATGTTTTTAATTATTAAGAGTGTATTGTGGGGACGTTTTCATCTATTGCAAAAAATGTAGACTTGAAAGCAAAGGATGTGAACTGGAAGCACCCTTGACTTTCAGTACTAACATCCTTTATTAAATAATATTCTTTAAGGTAAACACAATGGAAGCTGAACAGAACAGCATTGTGAAAACATTAAGAGAAGAAGCACAAAAACTGGAAGATTTATGTCAGCAAAAAGCAAAGGTATTGCCCTAAATATGATGTAT